CCCGCTCCATCCCGTCTGCGCCCCCGAATCTCGTCCGTGCCCGCTCAATCCCGTCCGCGCCCCCCGAATCCCGTCCGCGCCCGCTCAATCCCGTCCGCGTCCCCCGAATCCCGTCCGCGCCCGCTCAGTCCGTGCCCCCCAAATCCCGTCCGTGCCCGCTCAATCCCGTCCGCGCCTCCCGAATCCCGTCCGCGTCCGCTCAATCCCGTCCGCGTCCCCCGAATCCCGTCCGCGCCCGCTCAATCCCGTCCGCGTCCCCCAAATCCCGTCCGTGCCCGCTCAATCCCATCCGCGCCCCCGAATCCCGTCCGCTCCCCCCGAATCCCGTTCACGCCCGCTCAATCCCGTCCGCCCCCCTGAATCCCGTCCAGGCCCCCTGAATCCCGTCCGTGCCCGCTCAATCCCGTCCGTGCCCCCCCGAATCCCGTCCGTGCCCGCTCAATCCCGTCCGCGCCCCACGAATCCCATCCGTGCCCGCTCAATCCCGTCCGCACCCGCTCAATCCCGTCCGCGCTTCCTGTATCCGGTCCGGGCCCCCTGAATCCCATCTGCGCCCGCTGAATCCTGTCTGCACCAGCACGCCCGGGCCCCTCGTGGGCCCCTGGGAAACTGCGCTCACTGCTTCAGTGCCGCAAGCCTTGCTGTGGACCCTGTGGTTCTGTTTTCTAAATACGTGAAACTCAGTTTTTGCCCAAAGACCTTCCTTGAGTTCAAATGATTTGAAAAGTACTTTCTGGTTTACTTCTCTCCCCGCCTCCCTCACCCGTCTCCCCACCCCCAATCATAAAGAGGGAAAGCAAATATAAGGTAAGGGATTCAAATCTTCATTACAATAACTGGTTCTGAATATCTGTTTCCTCCACTCTCTGGTTCCCTTACATAAAACTGAAGTATGTATTAAAGGAAAACAAAGACCAGAACAAATACAGTATGGGAAAGAACAGGAGGACTTCTGTACAACTGGTCAAGACAGCAGAAGCTAAGATTTAAATTAAAAATGAAAACCAAGGTGAAGCAAAAAGAGTTAAAAAAAAAATTCATATTTTTATCATTAATCATTTCACAAAAAAAGTTGTAACAAGTTTGTTTCCTACTGATCCATACACTCTTGACAACCCAGATGCACCTGAATCTCTACTTGTCAACAGACTTCAACCCCCCTCTCCCCCTGACCCAGGGACATTTGGCAGTGTACGGAGACATTTTGGGTTGTCATAAATGGGGTTGCAGGGTCCTGAGCAAAGACCAGAGATGCTGCTAAATATCCCACAGTGCACAGCACAGACCCTGCTCCAGTTCCCTCACACCCTTCAAAGCTAAAGTCTTGGAAGAACAGGTAGCATTTGCCACTCTAACTCCCCCACCTCCTCCTTCCTAGAGTGCAGACACCTTTCTGTAAACACCATGTGGCGTTTACAATGCCAACCACTTCTCATTCTGAAAATTATTCCCTTGGCTTTCTTGTCACTTCACTGCTCAGATCCCATCAATTCTAAAACCTCCCTGAACCTCCAGCACCAGCACTTCTTTCCTTTGCCCGCCATTAAATATTGGGGTTCCAAGCTGTGGGAGTGGTCTTGGCCCTTATTAACCACTGGGCACACAGCCTGCCTGGGCAATCATGTCTACTTCTATTTACTCCCATGGCTTCAACCTCTATCTGGGAAAGAGCTTTCTTCTCAATTCCAGAAGCACTTTTTAAAAATAGAACATGAGGAATTTCCACCTTGATAGCTCATTGGTGTGACAAACCATGGAGACAAAGGTAACTTCACTCTTCAGTTCCCACTACACTTACTCCTCATGCATTTGTCATTCCTGTGGATGGCCCTACTATATACACAGTCACTCTGCCAAATATAGATGATAGATTGCTACATAGATAGAATCAGCCCCTATCTCCTAAACTGACCTTAAAATGAAATGATATATAATTTCTTAATGTTTCCAACTATTTCCTTCTTTAAATCTTCACTGTTACTTTCAGTTTAAAATCTAACACATACCTTCATCTGAGTTATTTGGCAGTTTCTTAATTCCTCTCTGATTTCAATCATATCATTTTAACTCAATCTTCAATTCTCTTTCAAAGTCACTTTCCACATAACAAAAAAGGCTATATTTTATCATACAACACATGCCTACCTTTCGAACATATACTGGCCACCAACCTTTTATCACGCTACTTGCAGTTCTCCAAATACACATGTGTTTAGGCGTCCATTCTTTCCTTTGATGTATAAACAATGTGTGTTCTATAATTGAGCATTTATGTTGAGGGTTTAAACATATGAAAGTCAGTTTTATAATCTGGTAGAAGAACACATAAAATATATCTCATTTTATAAAATATATTGGTTACCAATACTATTGAAAAATCCCAGCGTTTTGACCCAAATTTCTATATAAAAACTTTTTTATGAAACACAAGGAAAGACAGAAGACTGATGAGCTAATGCAAAAGATGAGCATATAAATGAATACTATTTGATCTTGTGCTGCCTCAAATGGCATGAACTGTTGACATGGAATTAGAAGAAAGAATTTTATTCACTAGCTAAATTCAATTTGGGAGACTTCTGTTTTCCTCTCTAGGTCAAAAACATTTTCAGCATTTCTCAAAGCTCATTGGTTTAAATTTTTTAAAAAGCTACTGTCACATTATAAGCAAAAAATGTCATAGTTTTAAATTTCCTCCTAAAACAGATTCATTATTAATGATACAATTAGAAAAGAAAGCAATCTTTTGGGTTATTAAATAAATGTACAAGATGCATGCTCCTTGACAGCAATTTTAACCAAGTTAAAGCTTCAAAAAGCAAAATTGTAAGTTAGACTTTCCCAACAATAAAATGGCTGGCCAATTTAGATGAACTTTAATATTTGAAAAGAAAAGTTAGTTAAGAATTAAAAATAGTTATTTGCTGCCCTGGCCATGGTGGCTGTTGGGAATCACCATCCCATGTCCTGAAAGGTCACCAGTTCGGTTACCAGTCAGGGCACATGTCCAGGTTGTGGACTCAATCCTGGTAGGAGGAGTGTAGAAGGCAGCCAACTGATGTTTTATTCTTACACAGATGTTACTCTCTCTCTCTCTCCTTTCCTCTCTCACTAAAAATCAATAAAACAAACAATCATTTGTTTCTAAGTAGATAAAAGAAAAAAACCAAAATTCTCAATTTTAATTTACACAAAATCGGCAGATTTGTGGCCTATACATAATAGGCCAAATTGTGTCAAATATGGCACAATTATCTAAAACTAAAAATTAGAAGAATCCAAATCTTCTCTTGAATTCCCATTAACGTACTGTCTAATTCTTGGTCACTTAACTAACACAGATTTCATTGTATCTATAAAATGGGAGGATAATGCCTATTATATTTACTATAAGGGGATCTGGTAGGAAAAAGATCAATAGAATTTGACACTGAAATATTTCAATATTTTTGAAAAATTCCAGAAATAAGATATTTCAAAATAAAATTGAACAGTTAGGGATATTTACATTTTTCAGGTTTTTGTGTATATTTCAAATCTTACTAAACTGAAGTTTTCAATGTTTTTGAAAATAAATTATAAAAATGAACTTACCTGGTGTCCAGGCAAAATGGCATTGCTCATTAAGGTTCTAATGCTCATATCTCAAGGTCTTTCACAAACAAATGTGGGTTTAGGAGTCTTCTAACCTTTCCTATTGCACCTACACACTTCAAGCATCAGTGGGTTCCAGATTTCTTGGGACAAACTCTAAATCAAGACTAAACACTTGAAAACAAAAGCTTTCACTGAGGTAGCTGAATAAGCAATAGCTTGAATTTGTTTACTAAAAGATGCTTTCATGGATAAAGGTAGTGAGAAAAAGTAATGATATAATAGTGTTGAGAATTTCAATACACAAGTTTTATAATCTAGTGCAATATATTGTGGAATGTGAGTATAAATATCAACTTTAATTACAGACAAGAGACCATGAACTATTATTTAGCACTACCCTCCAAAACATATAAACAAGACTCAAGCCTCCTGAAATGCCTCAGTTCTCTCATTATGAGACCTACTGGTACAACCAGAAAGTTGAAAAGTATGAACTGTTTAAAGACCTAAGTATTTCCATCTTATCCACAATTAATTCTAGATAAAATATTTCCTCAAAATAGATAATATAAAAAAATATATGTGGTATTGTCTAAATTACTGTACCATATCCTTGCTATAACAAACCAGACCTGAAACTGTGGAATCAATGTTCAAATTGCTGCAAAGCATTGATATTGTAATTTGCTAGTGCTATTAGGTTATCTGATACACACACACACACACACACACACATTTTTTAAACGTCAAAGTCAGGGCAAATCCTGAGTTATTGTCAATTCCCAAGATTAGACCCTGCGATGTACAAACATTCTGTCCCTACAGAAATAAGAGCTCTTCTCTGGTAATTTTTTATTAAATAAATAAAGTATAATTGATGTTACTGTTGGTGTGTTTTTCCTGGCATGCCTAAAGCAATGATTCCTGAATTCAGCCTAAAACTAAAGGAGTTAATTTAATCTGGAGCATATATATATTTTTTTAATTGCCTAAAAAATGATTTAGAAATTGCCTTAAAAAAAAAAAAAAGAAACAGGTACAGTATTGAATTGACCCCTTGTATTTGATGTCATGTTACACAAAACTTTTCATTTAACACTGCCAAGTTTAATGCTTGATTTTACCTCTCATTAATAATTCAAGTTTTAAACATGACCAAGAGTACTGCCACCTTGCTTTAATACACTAACATCACCACGCTGCTTTAACATAAATGAATTTACTGCAACCCCCCGGCTTACATTATTTTGCCAGCTTTCTTTGGAGAAGGTAAAGTAAAATTATGCAGATGACATTAGTGAATTCTTTAGGTTTTGCGCACCCACGGAAACAAATCAAAGCTTACTACAAACAAACCAAAGTGAGTGCGCATGGCATCTACGAGGTTCCCTGTGCTCACTTACATGCCACCTCCAGCGATGCGTTCCGACTCACGGCTTCACCAAGGTAGTTCCTTGCCACGCAAACGTAGCTTCCTTCGTCGGGTTTACTTCTGCGCCCGTGCACTATGCGCAAGAAGAACAGGGACCCGCTGGGCAGCAGCATCCTGTGGGACCGCGGGTCATCCTTGTCCGTCTCCACCCGCTCACCATCCTTGTACCACTCTATGGTGGGCGTCGGCCGGCCCTCTGCCTTACAGTTCAGCGTGGTGGGCTCTCCCTTGGAGACAATGACATCTGAAGGGTGCTCCACTATGCGCGGGGGGAAGTCTTCCTGGCGAAGACGAGATCCTACAAAACATGGAAGGATAAAGACGAGCTTTCACATTTTCTGATTGATAGGTCTTGTTTGCTTTAAGTTCACATTGGTGAAACTAAGCTCTTCAATTATTCAAAATATACTCACTATTTTGTTTCTCTTACTCTTTTGCTCTTTATGTATCGTGTAAGTCATCCCCATTCCTTTATGTGACATTATAGCAATAGGATATATATATTCTAATAAATTATAATTAATGGCCCATAAATGATGGAACACAAAAGTAAACAAGAGCATGCTGGATTTGGTACAAAGATGAGTAAGACTAATTCCTGTCCTCAAAGTGCTTTCTATCTCCTGAGGGAGAAAGCCAAGTCAAGTACCTAGAATACACACATAGATACCATTTATCATGCTGGCACTGTTAACAGACTTGACATAAAAAGAGGCCTGCACAGTATGTACAAATATTGACTCAATTTAATAGATAAGGAAGAAGCTTAGAAAATAAAATTGAATCCAGATATGTCTGACTAAGGATCTCAAGTACAAGTCACCCTGTTAAAATGAAACAAGTGTTGCATAAAGGTCCATGAAATGCATCACAGGAAGAAAACGAGAAACAAAATGTTAACTCTATAGCATAAGAAGTCTCTCCCCAAAAAGGTAGCATTTAAATTAAGGTGTAAAGAATAAAAATGTGTCAATAAAGGATAAAGGATTCAGATGGAAGAAACAACATGAAAGATATAAGGCATATTATAAAATGGTACTTGATAAAACTTGGTATATCACCATATAGTAAGGAAGAGCCACACGTACCCCTGAGTCCCTTGTGACTGCAATGAAAGTGGAACCATGAAGGAGGACGAGAAATAGGAAGAGAAGAACCTGTTGGTATTTTAAATGAACATTTTGTATAACATATGGTTTTGAATATTTTTAATTTATAAAGTATCAATGGTCATTATTTGTGGATAGGTCCTACCAGCCACTGCAAATGAATCCAAAGGAGATGCTGAGAGAAATTAACAACATCTGAGGACATAATGATATCACACTTGTGGGCTTTTATAAATCTACTCTTAACATTTTCTAACCAATCACCTAATATTAGCACATTTCTGCCCCATAAACAAAAGTAAAATTTATTCCTCAATATCATTCTAGTTTTCTTGCAATATTAATTACAAATGGATATTTTACTTTAACAGGAAATTTCACTTGGTAGTAAATAAACATTTATTTTCTGAAGAGAACTAACATTTAAAGGTTGCTGATTACCATTTGTAATCTCATCAGATCTGAGAAGGAAGTTAAACATTACAAGTGCTGGGTACCTACAGCAAGAATAACTTACAGTACACAGGTCGAAATTTAAGAAAAAGAACTAAAGCAACACAGAGCACTTAATTATGGACAGGTAATCACATCATGTATCACAATAATAAAGAAAGTTACATATTAAGTACTGGGTCCCTAAAGCACATGGGGAATTTGCAGTCTATAAAAAGTAAGAATTATTTTTCAAAGTAATAATTGAGGAAGATCTCAAAGCATTCAAGGATGAAGGGTTAATCATAGTTTGCAAACTGTAAAATATTCACAAATGTAAATTTCTGGACACAGAGCCATAGAATCTGATCCTGAAATTAATCAAGAGCTATGTGTCACTTTTCGTGTACCAGGCATATGGTAGGCTGCAGTCCCCTTGTTTAGACAGCCTCCTTGTTCTCTGGTCTCCCACAGACAGGCATCCACATTCTCCCAACTGTCAAAGTTGTTCTATTATTAAAACTGAGCACGTCAATTGTCCTTGTTATTAGAATCCTATTTACGATATCAAATAATCTCCTGCCCTAATAAGCACTTGGATGGGAAAGACCTTAAGTATATGGGTGGGCAAAAGTGGGTTCACAGTTGTTTGTATAGAATCTAGTACAATAATTAATAGAAATATAAGAGCCCTGCCGGTGTGGCTCAGTGGTTGAGCATCAGCCCATGCACCAAAAGGTCACCAGTTCAATTCCTGGTCAGGGTACATGACCAGGTTGTGGGCCAAATCTCCAGTAGGGGCATGCTGGAGACAGCCAATCGATGTTCTCTCTCGTGATGTTATGTTTCTCTCTCTCTCTCTCTCTCTCTCTCTCTCTCTCTCAAATCAATAAAGGAAAAACATTTTTAAAAAAACATATAAGAATAAACTCTGTGCTCAGCATACTCACAAGTGTAAACCTACTTTTGCCCACCTCTGTATATTAATACTTCATCAAATAAAATATTAAATAACAGACATACAATAGAAAAAGAGGCAAAATAACCAAACTGAATCTAGCATTTTCAACTCAGAGAATTTTACTTATTTATCTACACCATGTATAAACTATTCTAGCATTGTCACATTTAGATATTTTTCTAGTAACTTTATTTCCACTATTATAAAATTTTCAAAAGAACATCTACAATCTAAATGTAAGAGGTAAAAATATCAAACAATTAGAAGAAATTATAGGAGCAAATTTTTGCGACCTCGAGTTCAGGAAAACCTTTGTGGTTATGACACCAAAAGCACAAATGACAAACAAAATAATAAACAAAATGGACTTCATCAAATTTAAATATGTTTGTGTTTGAAAAAGCATGTAAAAAAATAAAAGAGAAACCACAGAATCAGAAAAAAACATTGTAAATCATATATCTAATACAAGACTAATATCTAGATTTTATTTTTAAAAACCTCATATAACTAAATAAAAATACAAGTAACCAATGATTTTAAATAGACATTTGTCCTAAAAAAAAAAAAGCTATACCAATGGCCAGTAAGCACATAAAAAGATACTGAACATCATTAGCTATTAGGAAATGCAAATCAAAACCACAATGAGACGTACTTCATAACCATTAGGATGGCAATCATAGAAGATGTCAAATTGCCAGCAATGTTGAAAAATTGGGAGCCTCATATATTGCTATTGGAAATATAAAATGGTTGCAGACACTTTGGAAAGTAATCTGGAGTTCCTCAAATGTTTTAGAATTGACATATGACCAAGAAATCCCACAACTAGGTGTACACCTGAGAGACATGAAACCTTATGCCCACACAAAAATTTGGACATGAATATAATGTTATATTCACAGCAGCATCATTGATAATAACAAAAAAGTGGAAAGAACCCAAATGGCCTTCAACCAATGAATAAATTATGTATAGATGCATAATAAAATATTACTTAGCAATAAATAGAAATGAAGAACTGATAAACACTGCAACATGGATGCACTTGAAAACATCATGATAAGTTAAAGAAGCTAGTCACAAAAGACCAGGTACTGTATGATTCCTTTTTTCTTTTAATCCTCAGCCAAGGATATTTTTCCATTGCTTTTCTGATACAATGGAAGGGAGAGAGAGAGATGATAAAAGTTATTATAGTGGACACTTTAAATGGGTAAACTGTGGGTAAAACTAAGCTTCTCTTTTCTCCACATCCTTGCCAGCACTTGTTTGATGATTTATTGATAGTAACCATTCTGGCAGGTGTAAGGTGATATCTCTTAGTTTTTTAAATTTGCATCTCTCTGATGATTAGTGATATTTAACATTTTTTCATATGTCTCTTGGCCATTTGTATGTCCTGTTTGGAGAAGTGTCTATTCAGGTTCTCTGCCCATTTTGAATTGGATTATTTGTCTTCCTTTGTTGAGGTCTATAAGCAATTTACATTTTTAAAATTAATCCCTTATGAGATGTATCATGGCAAATATGTTCTCCCACACAGTGGGTTTCCTTTTTATTTTGAGGCTGGTTTCTTTTGCTGTGCAGAAGGTTTTGTTTTGTTTTGTTTTCAATGTAGTCCCATTTGTTGTTGTTTTTTTTTTCCTTTGTTTCTCTTGCCCCAGGTGATGTATCAGTGAAAATTCTGCTACATGAGATGTCTGAGATTTTGCTGCTTATGGTTTCTAGCACACTGCTGTGGGAATGTAGTCTGGTGCAGCCACTATGGAAAACAGTATAGAGTTTCCTCAAAACATTAAAAATGGAACTGCCATTTGACCCAGTGATCCCACTTCTCAGAATATATCCTAAGAACCCTGAACTATCAATCAGAAAGAATATATGCACCCCTATGTTTAAAGCAGCGCTATTTACAATAGCTACATGGAAACAAACCAAGTGTCCTTCAGTAGATGAGTTGGTAAAAAACCTGTGGTTTATTTATATAATGGAATATTATGCAGCTATAAAAAATAATTTCTTATGCTTTGAGACAGCACAGAGGGACCTAGAGAGGATTATGCTAAGCGAAATAAGCCAGTCAGAGAAAGACAAGTATCATATGGTTTCACTTATATGAAGAATCTAAGGAACAAAACAAACTGATGAACAAAATAGATCCAGAGACATGGATGTAGGTAACAGATTGACAAACTTCAAAGGGAAGAGGGGGTGGGAAGAGATAAACCAAGGAACTTATATGCATATTTGCATAGCCAATGGACACAGACAACAGTGCAGTGAAGGCAGGGAGGAGGGGATTCAGTGGGGAGAAAAGGAGGGACATCTGTAACACTTTAACAATAGAGATAAATTTAAAATTCTTAGAAATGGGTAAACTGTGTGGTATATAAGTTATATCTCAATAAATATGTTTTTTAAAATTCATGAGTAAAGGCACTGTGAACAAATTTAATATAAGGCGTTGTAACAATTTGTGTTCACTCTTACCAACAGGTTGTTTTCTTCATTTATAATTTCAGGTTTTAGATTTAATCATCAGGCCAGCAACAGCTAATAGGGAATAAACTCAAGTTGAAAGGTCTTTCCAGCCAGATGATAGATAGATAGGTAGATAAATGATAGATAGATAGATAGATAGATAGATAGATAGATAGATAGAGCAAAATACAGCAATAGTCTAAAAGTTTTGACATAATTCCAAGTGAGAGAATTAATTCCAAACTCCTTTAAAATCAGACATTGCACAACTATAGCACAGTGGTGACCCTTAGAATGGATAAGCCATAG